TCCAGGGGCACAAGTAGCGGCGTGAGTGATGCAAGTTGAGACAGGCACTTAGAAGATATGGCCTGGAGAGCAGAGAGGCCAGAGCCCTGCATGTTTAGGAGGTTGTCAGGCCGTGAGCCTGGGGAGTAGCTTGTAGGCAGATGGAAGACAGGCTCTGGAATGTCATGCCGGGGGGGGGGGGGGGGGGGTTGCTTGCCAGGAGACACAGCCCACTAAACTTCAAAAGAAATGGAAGTGCTTCTTAAGAGCCAACTCCATGTAGAATGTTCCAGAGGGAGCAGTAACAAGGACATTTTAATGATCCCTCCTGGAGTCACCTTCTTTTTCCTATATCCCCTCCTGATACCAATGTTGGCATCAAATTTGGTCAATTCTTCCTCTCAAATAATAACATTAATAGCAGCCACATTTATTGAGGACTTTTCTCTGTACCTGGCAGGCATGGTTTTAAATATAGGCTTTATAAACATCACCCCATTTAAGCCTCACAGACAAAAGCTATCAAGTGAGTTAAGATTATAGTCATATTACATCTATGAGAACAGAAGCTCTGAAAATCAAACGTGGCCAAGATCCCCTAGCAGGTAACAGGCAAGAGCGAGGATTTGAACCAAGTCCTTTGAAATGAAATCCATGAAACAGATTTCCTCCGTTTCCCCCAGCACCTCTGCCTCGTTCTAAGTCAGGTGGTTACGACCTCCTTCTGGGCCACTGCAGGACCCCCACCTCCCTGTGACCTACTCTGCCAACTGCTATCGGATTCTTTTCCAAAAACCCAACTCCACTTCCACCCTGGCTCACAGCACCCAGCAAGGTGCCCCACAGAACGCAGGGGCTTTCAATAAACACTTGTCGAATGAATGAAACCTCTCTCATGCTGCCTTAGCGTTCTTCCCTCTGCAAAACTCCCAGGCCTGACAGTCAGGGGCCTCCAGCTCTGGGTCCCCAACCTTGGCCGCTTTATTCCAGGACTACCCGCTTCACGGGTCCACCATGAACCACTGTCTCCTCCAGTCCCCGGACATGCCATTTCCTCTGCCTGAAACACCCTTTCCTCAACTCTGCCTGGTCATCCTGCCCTCAGTGCCCTTTCTAAGTTGAAGGAATGGACAAAAGACTCCTCCCAGATGTAAGCCATCACTCTCGTCTTAGTGAGCCCAGGCCCAGCACCCTGTATCGCTCCAGCAGCTTCAGACCAGGGCAGGTGTTTGTGAAATACCCACACCAGGATCTAGAACACATTCTGCCACGGCACATAGCCACCCAGTCTAATCCAAGCTAACCTTTCCTTCTGTCCAGGAAGTAGGCCTTTGTCACAAGCCGAAGCTCCCCAGGACTTTTCCGTCTTTTACTTATAAGGATACAGCATGGGCTTCTCTTTAGACAGTTCCAAATGCAAAATCTGGTCTACCATTTTGGTCGGACAAAGGGTGTAAAAGTGGAAAACTCCCAAGTCGGATGGCCTGAAAAGAGGGAGTCCAGGGTCCGGGGCCCTCCCTTCCTCTTTCGCTCCTGTACTGAGACTTTGCACCCAAAACACTTCTCCTCTTTCACATGAAAGAACATCCCTATGAGGTACCATCTTCTGCGAAGATGTTACTTCACAGAGGACTTGTCCTGAAGTCATCTGTTTTAGTTAATGCATTTATTTAAGATAATAAATAGAAATCTATCTCTTTTTTTTTTTCGCATCTGCAATTATGAAGACATCTGCCTATGATTCGGTGCTCATGAAATGCACTGGCCCCAAATGGAAAAACCGTGATTGTCTTGTGTATGTGCCCTTTATGTTCAAAGTACCTAATGGGCACTTTGAGAATATTACGAAATCTAGTAACTGGAAGAAAGAACATAAATAATGAGATGGTGGAAGAAAACCAACACTCCAAGACCTCACCTGCTGAATTTAATATTACCTTCCTTAAGCAACTTAACAATTGTTGTTTAAGGGGTAGGGCTGGTCTCCTCCGGTATACTGCTGAAAATTTCAGGAATTTCTTTCTCCGAAGTAACAAGTATTGACGAAGGTCAAGGGACAAGCAGAGCTAATACCCTCAGATTACATTAGGATTTAAATTCTTCAGACGCCTCCTTCTAGACCAATGATGATGGAGTTCAGAACCTCAGAATGCACTGGAAATAGGACGTCTTTAACCTGAACATTTGAATGAAGACTTTTAAAAATACCCCTTTCCCTCATAAAATGAGTATGACGATGCCTTCCTCTGAAATCTAGAGGAAGCAAAATCAGACAACATATGGAAAGAGACTACGGGATTAACTAATTACACACGACGCCTTAGAACGGCACATGGACGCTTCACAATCGCTTTAAAGAAGTCACGTAAATTCATATTAAACAACCAAATTCTATGCCTTTTATGTTAAAAAAAGAAGCCAACACTAATAGAAACACTAGCAGGTATTTGTTTATTCAATAAAATTTATGTCTACAACTAAACGAAGGTATTTCTATTGAGAACAGTGAATTTGTACTCAATATTAATAAACAAACAGCTTATTTTCTACTCTGTCCTTTGGATTTCCAAATTTAGTCTTTTAAGCAATGACATAAACAGTGCGCAGTATTTGCTCAGGACTCTCTGCAGTGACAAGAGGGCTCAGAGTGATGTATTTCATTGAATTGAAATTTAAACTAACCAAAAATTGAGAACTACACTTCCAATTGTTTGTTTCAGTTGCTTAATCTAAGACAAACAAATGTAAAAAAATTCACTATAAATGTATTTTAATGAAAATCTATAAACTGCCCATAATAAAACAAGTGCTCACGTTCAATAAATAAATTCTCTCCGTTTCTCTTACACACACACACTCACACACACACACACACACACATAAGCCTCTTATGAACAGCTGACCAGCTAAGAAAGACGATAAAAGTTACCACAAATTTTATAATTTTTAGTAATCAGTGAGAGTACTCAAATCTTTGTAGTTTACAGAACAAGCTTAGGATAGATCTAACATTAAGCCAGTAAAACTTTCAACTGCCAAGCCCTAGCAGTGGATACTCGCCACAGAACATTTTAATTTTCATAATCCGGTTCCTGAAAACACACACCCCGAGGATTTCAAAGTACAGATGAGAAGAGTAAACAACGGTAACAAGGCTGAAGTAGCCAACTAGTAGTTCGTAGAAAGAATAATAGCACGACGCCATGAGAGTTCCGACAACGGGCTGTCCTTTCCTCTCACTCAAACTCTTAGAACCCAGGTGAACAGTTACTCAGGTGCACAGGCTGCGGCAGGCCTGCCCTCGCCCTAAGCAATGTCAGAACTGCATTTTGTGGTGGTGGAAGAGAGTTAAATTTTTAAATGCTAGCATAACCATGAGAGGTAATTATTAACTTCTCATTTGATGAAAAGAATTTACATTTTTACCCTCATTATTACCTTTCGTGTGTACTTGAGAAGAATTCATTGCTCTAACCAAAAAAAAAAAAAAAGGCGGGATGGAAGGAGGATAACGAATTGGAAAACACAGCAACGTAGCTTGATTTCACTTCTTACAATCACACTCCTCACAACCTCTTTAACTGGTACAAGTTTTCTTAACTTCTGTCTAAATATTTTCTGTTGCTGTGCAGTTGAATCACTTTGAACCTCATACTTTAAAATACTGAATATAACATATATTACTTGTATTGTCATTAACAAACAACATTGTGCATGTGCACGTGTGTTTGGAGACAAATCCTGGCTTTTCCCACAATCGGCACTTACCTTCAGGGAAAGGATTCGGCTGTACCACGTGGAGAAAGACGCGCACCATTTGAAAGAGACCGCCAATGGGCCCAGCATCGTAAGAGTCTTTGGTTTCATAGTTCATTGCAGGCAATTCAAACTCCAAAACATCAGGGCTCTTTGTGGGTGATGGCAGCCCCTCTGAAACGGTAGTCCCACACAGCCCCAGGAGCAGCAGGAAGCAAAGTGTAAGGGCCATAGCTAGCAGGATCCCCCAAACATGAGGTAGGACTGGGGGTCTCCCGCTGCAGAAGTTCTGGAAGCCTTGGATAAGACAGGAGCGTGTGTTTCTGCGCAGAAGAGGCGCAGGGAGGAGGGGTCTGCTGAGTCCTGTTTTCCGGCCGGGCTGGCATGCGGCAAAGGGCGTCAAAGAGCTTTCTCCAGGCGGGTTGGTCGCTCAGGACGCAGCATCCCTGGCAGGGAGAGAAGGGGCAACCGTCACTCACGCGTGCAGCCTGCCTGCCCAGGAGCTTCCCGGAAAGGAGGCTGCAGAGCTTTCGAGCAAGCCGTTCGGCCTAATCCGGCAGGTGGGAAGCAAACACAGAGCCTGCTTCAGAGCTGCGGGGGCAGGGCAGCTAGAAGGTCCCTCCGCAAGAGGCCGGACTCGGAGCGCAGATCCTTCCTGGGTTGAGGGAACACCCTTAGGTGTAGAGAAGGCTGTGTGGTCTTAGAAACTAGCATTTATTAAGCACTTACTATATTCTAGACACTGTTCCACGTGCTTTACAGGTGGGACCCCGTGTAAGGCATTATCCCATTTTATAAATGAGGAAAGTGATACAGAGAGGATTTCGGTGACTTGCCCGAGGTCCTGGCTGGGGCCAGAATTCAAACCCAGTGGTTTGCCTTCAGATTCCAAGATCTAATGAGCAAGACACTCTTCCTACAGAGTCCTCCTTTCAGCCAGCCTCCGGTTAGAGGCTCAGAGGCCCCCAGCAATAGACTATACGCTTATTTTTCCTCCAAGTTTGTGTTGCTGCCCCTGTCTCTGGAGATATATCTTACTCGGCCTTTTCTTCTACTCTTTGCTCACTGATCTTATCTCAAACATCCCCCTCTTCACTCACCCCCAACCCAAACTAGAACAGCATGGCCTCAACAAGGACTAAACTCTTTAAGATCGGTGACAACGGAGTCTATCTTTCTAATATGCTCACCAGGTAATCCTGATGGAAACCTTCAGCTCCAAGTCACCACCTGGTCACTAGAGGTCCCAGTGATGAGAGGTAGGGCAGAGGGAGACTCCTGCCCACCCCTGGGGAGAGGGAGAAAGAAACAGAAATCCTAGGAGCAGCTACTAACCCAACGTCTAGTGAGAGCAAGGGACCGAGAGCACCTCCAAGATGGACCCTGTCCTCCTGGTATTTCTATCCCCAGAACTGAACACAAGACAGGACACACAGTCGGGGATCAGGAAGTGCTGCTATATATATAACTGAATAAGCCAAAGAGCCTGCTTTCCTTGTGCCCCTGCAGGGCGCTGGGTGACTCAAAACAGAACCCACCAGAGGAACTAAGATGCTCTGCTCGCCTCTCTGTTCTGAGATCAGGAACATCCTGATTTCATCTTGTATATTAGATACACACTTATGAACTTTGAAAAGAAGGACAGGGTGCTCCTGAAACACACTGTGATATGGGAGAGGGGGCACCATCAAGAAAGTGACACCTTGTACAAGGGGCCAGAGGGCCCACTACCTACATCCCACCAAGTCAAAGAGAGCCCCAGACAAGTGGTGGGACTGCATGAGCTCTTTGCATGAAGATGTTAATTCCTATTTAATCCCCTTAGATATTGCCTCATCTTCTAGGGCCTGGCCCACTCCAATCCCTTCTGCACAGAGCTACCAATAGAATGACCCTGAACTCTCCCTTTATCAAATCATGGGCTGCTCAGATCCCCAGTGGCTCCCAGTGTCAACCTCGCTAACCTCAGGCTTCCATGTTGGCTCTCCATCTCCCCTACAGATACACCAGGGCAATCTCCCTGCCAGGTGTGGCTGCTGCTGCACACACCCTGGCCTCAGGCTCTGAAGTGCTCCAGCCTTGCTCTGGTTCTTATAGGAAATCACCACTGCACACGTTCAAACACAGGCCCGCTCTGCTCAGTCTTCCTACCATTTCCAGAGAGAACAAATGAGAAAGACGCAAAACCAGTTAGCTTCTGCAAGCCCACTCTCTGGAAGTCTCCATGGCTGCACAGGGTAGGCGGACGATGTGAAAGGAGAGATTGTGCGGTTATTCACATAGGATAGGACTGCTCTCCTTTAAGCAGGCAGGCATGCACACACACATCACACACAACACACACTAACAAATACCACACACACATACACACATCACACATACATACAACACACACCAACACATGTACATACACCCACACTGACACACACTACACATATACACACTACACACACTAGCACACCCCCCACACAGATACAACACATACTATCTCATGCTGTGTACATATATATCACACAGACTACATACACATACCACACGCACATGCAACACATACCATGAACATATACATCACACACTGACGTGCAACACATACACACCACACATACACACAACATACATGCACACGACCCCTACACACACTCACACACACCACACTCACATCTTATCTCGTTTTCTGCTAACGGACAGGCAGAGAGGACAGCAGCTGGAGGGATTAAAGGCTCAGCTGCTAAGAAAGGCTGACTTCCTGGTAATGCCACCAGCTTCAGCCAGAGACGGGGAGAAACACAGCAGGGGAGAAACGGCAGGAGGCCCATGGGGGAGCTGGATAAACAGACTTCCCAACTCCCTCAGTGAGAAGGCCGGGGAAGGGAGATCCCAAATGAAAGGCAGCACTGCTTCTCCCTGCTGCTGAGATGAAACGTCAACCGAGTTAGCACCTGGAGCCGCTTGTCCTCGTTTCTTTACATCTTGCTCCAAAGTGTAGGTCCCTCTTAAATTTTAGAGTAAATTTTAAGAAAACATTCTCACTACTTATGAAACACTAGACAACTGATAAAAGTCAACTCATAAAGGAGTTTTTCATCTCAGTTTTAACTGCCTGCGCCCAGAGAGGTCTGGGTCCTCACCTGCGAAACCCCGCTGAGCAGCAAGAGCAATTGAGAGGAGCTGGCAGAGCTGCCAGCATAAAACCCAGGAAAGCCCTCCTGGACCAACAGGTGCATCAGCATAAAATGGAGTCTTTACTTAAAATGCCGATTATTGGACCTAATTCCTGGGGATGAGGCCCATTAACCTGCATTTTTAACACTCTCCTGAGCATTACCACCTGCCTTGGGGGGTGCCTGATTCTTAAGACAACTGACGTCTGAGAGCCAGCACTGTTGCTGAGTACCCACCCACCTGGCTAATTCACACCACTTTCCAAAGGCACCTTCAGCTTCCCAAACCCAACAGAAGTGAGGCAAAATCCCCCCAGACGCCTTCCTTACATTACATTGAACTGATCTATCTTGGCTGCTGTGTGAGGTCTCTGATTAACTCATGTCTGCACCCCTAGAGCCTGGCACACAGTAGGCACTCCATAAGGACTGCTGAACTCAAACGGTGGGGCGTAGAGGGAGGGCTAACACAAAATGGTCATTATTGCCTATTTCAAAATTGTCTCAAGCATCGCTCAGCAGTCCCACAGCCTCGGGAAGCGAGGTGTTGCCCGTAGCTGTTTCCTCCAACACAAGCAGCAGGCTGTCTCCTCCTGGATTTACTCACGGCAGAACTTAGGTCTACTATTCTGGAGGCCACACCTTCTGCTGGGACCCTCATCTTTCCAGGCTTTGGAAATTGCTCCCTCAGGGGCTCTCTCTTTACACAGGCACTAGACTAACCAATAAGGCCGTCTCACCATTTTTATGGTTTATGGGGTGTAGATTCCTGGGTTCCACTGCAAATACACTTATTTCAAACTGGGACAGGGGCCCAAGGATGTGAATTTTAAGCAAATACCTCCCATGATTCTGAGCCTGGAATCCAGATAATAGCACTTCCACCAACATTGGTTTAAAAGCAAAGATGGTGACCATCCAGCCTCATTTCTTCTCGTCCTTTGACGGAACTTCTTTTAAAGGGACCTTTGTAGTAGATGTTTGTCATCTGGGTTATTTTTGCGGGGAGAAGGGTGCGACGGAGCCGCCCAGTTTCTGAGCTACCTTTGTGAGTCTTGTGGACTGCAGCCCTGCCTCTCATGCGAGCCCAGCTCAGGTGCCCACACTGTGCCTTGGGGGGTGAGTCAAGCTGAGCCAATCACATGCTTACTTCTAGGCTTGCGCATGGAGGACACTCAAGCAGAGGCAATTTCTGATTCATTCTAGCAGTGATGGGACAGTGCCAGCAGCCACATCCAGACTCTCGTGGTGGCAGCTATGGCCATACACCAACCAGGGGTCCTGTTACAGGTCCTGAGTCCCGCTCCCTTGGGCTCCTGAGCCTGGCTAGCCAGCCTTCCTGTCACTTCTGCAAGCCACCCAGTACCCAGTCCCTTTCTGCTGAAATTACCCAGAGCTGGCTTCTATCATTGCAACAAAACATCCTGACTCTTAACAAATCTCAGAGGTAGTTCCTGGGCCCCTGAAAAACCTATTTCCTTCATATTTTAAATGGTACCAACAAAACAATATTTGGTTTAAAGTTTTCTTATTTTCAACCTGTCCTTTGATGCACGCATCAACTTCACTGCACTAGGATGCACAGAAATAGTTCAGCAAGGAAATCATGAGGAAGTTCATAAAAAAAATTATGAGACACATGACGAAAACAAAACAAAAAGGCACTGCTGAAGAGACAGCATTCCGGGCTTTGAGGCAGGCAGGGATGGCCTAGTCCCACTTATTAACTCGGTGACAGCGAGCAGTTGCTTGCATTCTCCATCCTTTCCTTTGCTCATCTGTAAAATGGGGTTTCCGATCGCGCTGGAGGGTTAGAGATCAAATAGGCACAGAGCTGGCAGTCAATAAAGGCTCTGTGCACCGCAGCATCAGTATTCTAAATTCCACCGTGGCCCCTGGGCTCACCTGACAGACGGGACTGCTCCGAGGATATTGAAATTGGAAACTCACGAATGAGTGAGAAAAGAAAAAGAAGTAATAACTTCTCACAATCGGAATCTTACGAAGCTGCCGATATTCAAGTCTTCGAACCACAAAAGTGGCAGTTTCATTTGGTTCAATCTAACACCCCAGCAGCTGTTTGAGTCTCCAGTGGGTCTCTGTCGGGGCGGGGCGCCGTTCAAGGACCCTAATCACACACCTGCTTATCTTAACAAAGGTCAGCCCCCGCCCTCAGGAACCCGGGAAAGCTTTATCGAGCAGCGGCAGGAGAAAGGTCAGGAGCTGCCTCGCGCTGCAGGCACAACCTGTTGCTGCAGGAAGCCTGGGCGCAGGCTTCCTCCAGCCCTTCCCTCCAGCCCACCGCCAGGCCGCCCCCTCCTGCCCTCGCTCCCTTCTCGGCGGGAGCCTCTCCCGGGCTGCGGGACACAAAAGAATGGGCGGCGGGGAGGGCGCGGGAAGCCGGGAGACTCGAGGAATCCGCCGCCGCCGGGGGGAGGGGGTCGCCCAAGAAACTTGGCTGCCCCAGCGTGTCGGCGCCGGTTCCCCGCCGCGGCCCGCGTGGACAGGGATCGGGGCCCGCCAGGGAGAAGGGGGTTCGGAGTGGTGTCTTCCCACCGATCGGATCTCCTGCCCCTTTGGGCGCGGGCTTTCGGGGATACTGACCTCGGGCCCCCGACTCTCCCGCACCGCGAAACTTCCTCTGTCCGTGTTTCCCTTTGTTGTCCCGGCCGGCGCCGTACTGGTGGGGTGCGCCCCGAGCACCCAGTTCTCGATCCGGCAATCGCAGAAGGTCCCCGCCCTGTGCACCCAAAGAGGGCAAGGGGAGGCGTCAAGCCAGGGGTGCGTGCGTTCCCCCATGGACGCGGGGAGACGGCCTCCCATTGCGCCCCCAGACCCCCCTCCTGCTGTGATTGGTTGCGCCGCGTACTCCATTCTGCAAACCAGTGGAAGGTGACCCCTTTCCATACCCCGCTGGAGTGGCTCAGTGCTCCGCGCCCCAGGTGCCACCCCCAGCACTCCCCTCACTGCAGAACAGTTCCCAAGCCCCTGACGAACCTCCCCTCGGTCCGCCGCTCTCCCAGAGAGCGAGCCCGCGGCCTCTGGGGTCCCGGTACCGCTCTCCTCCCACTGTCTGTTCGCGCCTCGAAACCTGGAGAGCCACAGCCGCCGGTTCCCCTCCAGTGGATGGAAAGAAAACCCACCACGCAGCCATCAGGCTGCCGGCAAAGTTTGCGCGCGTCCCCGCCCTGCCCGGAACTCCCGCTGGCGGGGCGCCCGGACCACTTCGCCCGCCCTGCAGCCCCTCTGGCTTCCCCGCCCCTCTCCGGGCTTGTATCACCTGCCGCGGGGCAGAAGGGCGCAGAGCGAGCCCCTCCATTCCCCATTCCCAACTTTCTGGAAGGGAGTGCGCTCAGCCCCACGCCGGATCCACAGACGCCTCCCGGGCTCCGGGGTGAGGACGCGGCTACTCACCGGGCGCTGGGGTCCAGCTCCTGCCTCGGCCCCTGCTGCCGACGCCCCTTCCCTCGCAGCCCGGCTCGGCAGGCGCCGGCTCATGAATGATTTATTCGGGGACCACCGGGATGGCTTCGGAGAGGCCGCCCCCTGCCCTGCGCGCCGGCCAGACCTCAGGACACGGAGGGCCGGGAAAGGCGCCAGCCCTAGAGGCGCGCGAGCAAGGCCCAGGGTGCCCGCGGGAACCTGTTTTGGCCTCCCCTGCTCCCCGGCAGCGACTTGCGGATGGAACTGCCGGGGTGGCAGTGCTTCCTTAAACATACTCACCCGCAGCGGGAGAGCAGAGCGCGCGGCCAGGTGCTTGGTGGGGGCCGGCTCGGTATTTTAAAGATAGCCAAGCCCGAAGGTCTGGACGCGCTCCCGATTGGACCAGCAGGGCAGCCTCGCCACGCTGCCCAGGGCACCCAACGCGGGGCCTGGACTGCATCCATTTTCTGCCGGAGGATCCCTGCTGACCCGACACGCCCTTCTCTCAGCACCCACACCTCTTTTACCCAGAAAAAGTCTCCACTTGCTAGACCACCTAAAAACTCCCCCTCCTCTCTGTGGTACCAACTCAGACGTGCCTCGGTTGACTCCCCCTGGTGGCTTCAGACGCCTCTATTGCCACTCTCAACAGACTTCTCTTCAATTTATCAAAACAAAAATCAAGTCATTTGGTTCCTTAATGTGTACCAATCACTCTGCTAGTGGCTGGAGCTACATAAACGGCATAAAGCAGTCATTGCTCCCGTATGAGCATACAGGCATCCTCTCGGGCACCAAGCGCACTGCGCTTTAACTACTCCTTTCACATGAGTCTCGAGGTTGTGAGTTGCCTTCGCCCCGCTGCCTTCACTCCGCAGTCTTCATCCCATTGCTAAGCTGAGTGGTGGAAACCTTCTGCCAAAAGAAATCATTTCCCCTTCTAACGGCACCCACCCATGAGCACCTCAGGCCTCACTCACCACTTCCTATTCCCGAATTGAGAATACTGTGGGAAAATAAGGTGTGTGGAAGAAAAGCACCTTCAAGTCAGTGTCTAGCACACAGTAGGTATTTGATGTTTGTGATATGGATGGATAGATGGATGGATGGAAGGAAGGACAGACGGACAATTGAATGATGGGCAGGAACATTAACTCAGTAGTTCTTTCACTTACCCCAGAATCTAGCACAAAACAGGTGCTGGAAAGAGCATTGCTGGTTTGATCTGAACTTTAAACTGGTCTTGAATGTGCACATTTCCAGGACAACAAACGCTAGTGCAGGAAACTTCTGAGAATTAGACTACAGGCATGGCAGGGTTAGGTGGGACTCCTGCAAGGCTCCTACAGACCTGAGGCGTCCCTCTCTAAAGCCTCCTGCTCAGGGGCCTCTGCCTGAACCCCTCCAGAGGCCCCAGCCCTGATGCTCGGGACAGACCTCTCTGGCAGGGGCCAGAGGGGAGTTCTTCCTCCCCAGAGCAGCCAGCTCTGACCTGCCTCAAATTTTGATCCTGCCCCTTTTTTTTTTTAAAGAGTTTATTTTTTCCTTTTTCTCCCCAAAGCCCCGGGTACATAGTTGTATATTCTTTGTTGTGGATTCCTCTAGTTGCGGTATGTGGGACGCCGCCTCAGCGTGGCCCGGTGAGCAGTGCCATGTCCGCGCCCAGGATTCGAACCAACGAAACACTGGGCCGCCTGCAGCGGAGCGCGCGAACTCAACCACTCGGCCACGGGGCCAGCCCCTTGATCCTGCCCCTTTTTATCACTGTGACTTTGGCTGCTTAATCTCCTTGAGCCTCAGTTTCCTCAGCAGAAAGATGAAGATAATTATGCCTCATAGGGCTCATTTTTTATTCCTAATAATGAAAATAATAATGACACCAGTAGTGGTAGTGGTGAGCGCTAACACTTCGTGAGCGTTCGCTCTAAATAAGTCACCTGCCAGGGGCTTTAAGCGCAGTATTTTATGTAACCTTAGCAACAACAAGAGCAGTGGGGGATGATGACATTAGCTCCATCTAAAAGATAAGGCTGAGATATATTCAGTAATTTGCCCAAGTCACAAAGCTTGCAAGTGAAGCCCTGAATGTGACCTGGCCTCCAGAGCCCATGATGGCCCTAACACCCCGGTGCACCGAAAGATCACTTGAAATCCTCTTGGGCCTGTGCTCCCGGGAGACATGCTGTGTGCCCGCCAGCTTTGGATGGAAATGGATGGCCATCTGTCTTTCCTGTAGGCACTGAATGCTTTAACTGTTTTTATCCATTTTCATTATCCCCCTCCCCGCCCCCGCAACACCTCCTCTACCTGGACCATCATAGGTGTTCACTAAGAGAGTGAATAAATAATAAACAGACAACACAATGTTAAGATCTGTTCTGAGCAGCCTGAGGCAGACAGTGCAGACAGTGACAGGACCTAATGATTTGTTCTATTCATTTCTGCTTGGAGTCCTCATCCTGCAGTACTGCTATTTAGTACAACTGAATTTCTACAACATCTGTGATATGCAAGGCCAGAGGGAGTAATGTTATTCCCATACACACACTCAGTCACTAGATGCAAAAATTAGGTCTCCCTTTCTGAGATCGCTCCTCATTTTTCCCACCCCAATGAAATCTAAACATGAGGCAGCATAGGATTCTAGAAAGAGCCAGGAGATTCACTCTGGTTCTGTCACTAACTGTCACTGTGGCCCCTGGCAAGTCACGTAACCCCCTGGGTTTCACGTTCTTCATCAGTGCACTAGCTGTGCTCAATGGCCACCAAAATGGCTAGAGACTACCATTTTGGACTGTGTAGATACAGGACATCTCCATCATGGCAGAAAGGTCTATTGGATAGCTGGGTTAAACAGTGAATCTTAACAAAGGAAAAATTACAACAGGACTGGGATAAAAAACTTAAGTTTCAATGAAAGTGATCAGGGTTATGTAGTATTAGAAATGAAGTGTTAATTGAGATTACTTATTGTTAGAGTATACAACGGGTCATTCAACAATCCTCAATCTTTGATAAGATGTTCCTTATGAAGGACTTTAGATATTTTCCTCCAAGTCACTAAGACTAAAACAAAATAGGTGTGTGAGTATATTATTCTAGTTAACCTGACAATTTCTACCATGAATAACTATGTTCCAAAAAAAATAATGTGTTCATATGAACAGCAAACATGGCAGCATATGACCCTGTAGAAAAACAAGGTTGTGTCATCTCAACACCCACAGTCCTGCCTTCTTAAGACTGAAATTTGTGTAAGAGACAGCCAATGAGAGAGGGAGAAGAAGAAAGAGAGACAGAGACAGAGAGATTGTTCTAAATAGAAATTCTACCAGTTTTGAAGGGAATGGCTTCATGCAAGCCAGGGTTCTCCTACAAATGTTTTATCTCATGATTTCCTGTTCATTCTGCTTTATCCCCCTTGCCTCTGGGCTTAGATACCAAAAATAGCATTGCTGGTGTTTAATAACCAAAAGCCAAGAAAACATTCTTCTGGTACTTTGAGAACCTTCAGGTAAGATTTGTAACTCATTCATCAAGCCCTTTGCATACTAATTCAAAGGCGGAGGAAGGAAACTTCAATCCAGTTTGGACAAAGAGAAGGGAAGAGGGAGACAGGGCCAGACCAGGGCCAGTGCCGCAGAGCTTGGATTCCTAACATGAAACCTGGGGAGAAGTTGGAAAACGCCATCACACTTTAATAGGGGAAGGTGTGTGGTAGTTTTACATTTTATATGCTGGATCTGTCTTCTGGTAACCATTTCAAATAAATGCCTCATCTCGAGGGCTGGCTTTCATCTATGCCTTTCCCTCTGACATCATTTTTAACATGCACTAACTCAAATGGGGCTTTAAAATTTGCCTTTAGTAATCATATGGAAAAAACAAGGGCAGTAGAAGGGCAGAGAATTATAAAGCATTAGAATACTCTATCTCATTTTCCCAAGAAAAGTGAGGTTCCCTCCATCTAAGAGCTATTGAGAGATTGCAGAAGGAGGTGGGCAGGAAAATTCCACAATTTCTAATTCTATAGTTGTCAGTTTTTTGTCATATCCCATGAAAGGTTCACCCAGGAACCTGTAATTTGTACAACAGCAAAAGTTACATCTATGCTAAGCAGTGTTTTACCCTCTGAAAATAATTACTATTATTACTTTCCTCTGAAGAACTACTAATTTGCACTTAGCCTCATCGTCATCTGGAAGAACTCACTGGGTGTCCGTTAGTCAGTCAGTCAGTAATATTTACTCAGCATCTACTATAGGTCAGGAGCTAAAGACTCCAGTTACTCTGACCCAGAACATACTTATGAAAAAACAACTTTATCCAATGCTATCTTTCCTCTTATTTACCCCTTACATATTTCCCTCATTGTGAGACTTTTTTTTTTTTAAAGATTTTATTTTTTCCTTTTTCTCCCCAAAGCCCCCCGGTACATAGTTGTATATTCTTTGTTGTGGGTCCTTCTAGTTGTGGCATGTGGGATGCCGCCTCAGCATGGTTTGATGAGCAGTGCCATGTCCGCACCCAGGATTCGAACCAAAAAAACACTGGGCCACCTGCAGCGGGGCGCACAAACTTAACCACTCGGCCACGGGGCTAGCCCCACATTGTGAGACTTTTTAAAAAAGCATTCTCATGCTGGCCTGATGGCATAGCGGTTAAGTTCGTGCTTCGGCAGCCCGGGTTTCGCCAGTTGGGATCCCAGGCACGGACCTACACTTTGCTTATCAAGCCATGCTGTGGCAGGCGTCTCACATATAAAGTAGAGGAAGATGGGCACAGATGTTAGCTCAGGGCCAGTCTTCCTCAGCAAAAAGAGGAGGATTGGCAACAGATGTTAGCTCAGGACTAATCTTCCTCATAAAAAAAAAAAAATCCTCTGCAAAATTCTCTTTTGCTTCATACTTTATCTGCTACCTCAGCTGTAATCAGATATTTATTTTAACCCCACTAAACTTTCTGCTAATTAAAACACTCTTCACATTTGCCAGGGAAATTAAAGAGTTAAATTATAGTCCCATCCAGCTACTTATACCAGAGAGTGAAAAAAGAACAGCTACTTTTTGTGTTATAGTGGGGAAAGCATGGGATGGGAGGTTGACCAGATCTGGAAATGAGTCCTAGCTCTGCTTATTCATTCATTCACTCACTCATTCATTCATTCTCATTCATTCACAGATACATGTATTCAACAGTGTTGATTGAG